AATCCAGCCCTGAAATTCTTCATGTCTTATCCTGTGATAAAGAGCTGCTAGCAACAGTAACAGAAGACCTAAAAGAGATCAAAAGGTGATATATTAACTAACTATTTACAGAGTACTCAAATCACAAGTTAGTGAAGTACTCAATTTAATCACTGGTGTAGTTCAGAGGGATTTCACTAGAAACCTTACTTTTGTATGAAATTGTCAATTTAAATTGTGTAAAATGCTTATAGAAAATTATCTCCTTACTATCTTTTTTTTTTTTTTAAAGAACCACATTAAACGTTGACTGAAGATGTGCCTTTTGGGTAGTTTTACTCCAAGTAAAATGGTTTAATTAAAATTGATTTAAAATCAGTTAAATGCTTATAAAGCTTGTGCACATATTTTCTCAAAAGAAAAAAAAAAAAACACTTTAGGACAATTTAGTACAAATAAGCTGATTAAAAATTAGTTTAAAGGTGTTCACACTGGGTAAATTTTGTATTATTTTTATATTAGTGGAATTCCTGCATGTATCTCCAAGTCATTATTCAAATCAGGGCAACAGATAAGCCAAGGCATATATAATTACTGTTGATGATGATGTTGATTCTATTATTGCTGCTGTGGTAGAAGCAACATGTACCAGTTGGGGATCTATTATTCCAGGCTGAGTACACATACAATGAAAAGATAGTGTATGCCTCAAAGAACTATGAGCTAGCATCAGCTTTGCAGAATTCAGCCTGCCCAAGCTTCTGTTGAAAACAAAACTATTCATTTATTCATTTGTATATTAACCACAACAAAAAGCTAAGTTTACAAAATGGGAAATGTATTTTGAGTAGGTTAAATTTCACTGAAAAACTGAGAGGTGGCTGTGTTGTTTTCCATGAAAAAAATGTGCTTCTGTTTACCACTATTTCTAAAAACAATCAGCTACAGTATTTGTTACTAGATTTATTTTTGGTAAATGTATCAAGTGCAGGCCATTATCATATGTTGCAGAATAAATATGAAACATATTAATGGATGGATCCTTGAAATACACTCAGGTGCCTTTTATGATCCCAACAATTCAGTGGGAATTTCACTGACTTAGACAGATGAGGTTAAGTCTATCCTGAATGTGTCTAAAAATTATCAGTAGAAAAGAACAGATTGACACAGCTCACTTGAACACTGTATTTCAGGAAGCTTTTCAGGTACCTGAAGGACAAAGCTTTACTGAAGAATATCTGCCAGAAACCTATTATTGTAAAAACCTTCCCTAATAAAACTATTGGCACAGTTTTATTATGATCCTACATCTAATATATGAATGCTGTACTTAGAATGATTCTGTTGTATTATATCAGGTAATATATACTCATATGTTCTCCAATCCTTGAGAAAAATTATCTATGTCTTAAAGCTTGTGCTGATACATGGTCACTGACTAAATGGACCCCTTTATTTATTTAAGATTGCACTAATGGTGTGAAAACATAATGGTACTACGTCTTGTCATTCTGATGCTTTCAATTATTTGCCCATCACCAGTTTCTTCAGGAAAAGGAAAAGGAGCAGGGGTGCTTACCTGGAAATAGGAGGGATGACAAGGACATCATTAGCAAGATGCTGACACAACACAAATCTAGAATAGTGGAAGCTAGAATCGCAGGATTATAGCAGCACTTTGACAGAAGAACTAATAACTTTGGGGTGGGAGATGGGGTTTAGGTTACTCTGTGATTAATACAGAGGTTAACAGAGCAGTATTATGGATGATTTGACAGAAGGTCTGAACCATATGACCACTGGGTATTTATTGTTCCTTAAATATATTTCTTCCATGTGAAGAAAAGGGGTCAATTCAACAGAGACAAGAAAGAGCATTAGAGGACAGTGACTAACGTACAAAGAGATGTGATCTTTTAACAACATGAGAAAGAGGCTTTGAAAGAGACCTGTCACAAGGATCCAGAAATAAGGGATCTTAGAGAGAGAGAGACAGAAACAAATGAGTAGGCATTAAGGGAAAAGACAAGCTGGGATACTTGAAGTCAAATTTAATCCCTGTCAACTTAGTCAAACTAAGTCAGGGATTCAGTGAACCCATGGAAAAAAATATTGGATTATCAACATCTCAGAAAGAGATATGGTGGCACACTTCAGTGATAGCTGTATATAAGAATGCAGCTTGTTAAGGAAAATGGGCAGAGCAATGCAGGATAAGATGCTTCATTTTGCATCAGATGCAGGAAAAAAACAAAAGATATTGTGTCCTGGTAAAAATAAAAAGGAAGAAACAACACTATGTCATGGCTAGAGTTTATTTTTCATAACAGACTATAGCTCTATTAAAAATGAGGAAGTTGATACTTTTTTTCTGACTTATCCTGAGAAACTAACAGAGGTATTTCAAAAGTTTGCCTCTGAGATAACAGTGGATTTCAATTACTTGAAAATCAGAAAAATTATATAGCAGGGCAAAAAAAGGTCCATTGAGTTCTTGTAATGTTTTAGGGATGATCTTAAGCTTCAAGGGACAGACAAACTCAAGGAGGCATTACCAACTTGAATTTCATGACTAGCAGGGTGGAACTCATTTTGATTTAAAGGCAGAAGGTAAACTGAGTGAAAGTGATCATGACGTTTTACCAAAATAGGCTTCTCTGTTCTAAAAAGAGGAAGAAAAAGCAACCCCATGCTGCCAAACACAGATTGCATTGTTATGCAGAAATGGTTAAACTAGTTTTAAATCAAGCTAATCTTGGTTCTAAAAGCAGGCTCATCATAAAAGCATACCATTCCATATGAGTTAATTAACCTCCTTTCTGCATGGTCTAGGCTACAGCTCAGTAATTTAAAGCTAACCTAGATTTCCTACAGAGAACAATAGACTCATTTTTAATTAAACATACAATAGCAAGCTATCTTGATGTGAACAAAAGGAAGCAGGGGAAGCTTAGGTAGACTGTGTTAAAGTCACATTAAGAGCTCTTCAAGGATTTGAAAAAAAGTCATAATAAGGGGACAAAGAAGTCTAATATAAAAGAATAAAATCACATATCCTTCAGTACAAAATGAAGTAAAAAGAGATATAAAAGGCAACAAGAAAATATTCTGGGAATATATTAGAAGTGCCCAGATACTTACTTAAGTTTGTCCTACAAAAGAATTTAGAGAAGAAATGAGTTAAAAACTATTTAGACGATATGTGCTTGAGTTAATAGGGCCTGAAGAATTTGGTTCAATAATATAGCAAAAATAATGTGAATAGTTAAAAGACTATGCAGATTCAAGGAGACCAGAAAAGGACAAAATGTGTATAAGGAAAGCACATCCAAAGCAATCTAGATTAATTTTAACCCTGAGAGATATTCTAGAAAAAAATGTGTTTACATAGATTTGTCAAGAATAAGTGATCTCACACTAATCTTATGCCCTTTTTTACAATCAATTTCCCCGAGTCAGTAGAAAAAAGGTGTCATAGATCTTGAATTAAGAATAAGTCAGAGACTGTCCCATGACAGTTTTATTAAAACAAAAAGCAAAGTAAATACAATTTTAATGAAATACAGTTTTCATGAAATCAAAACCAAAAGTCATGTTACTTGCAAAAAACAAAGCTGGAGAACATTTTCAGCAAGATCCCATAAGGATATATTGTCATTTCTGCTCCACTCAATCATCCTTTAATGATCTGCAAGATATAACAGAACATAGATATGTAAAAAATAAAAAATAAAAAAAGCTTTTCACCAACTTGGGAACTGTAAGACAAAGTTAGAGCTCAAAATCAGTTCTGTAACTTGGATAAGCATCTAAAAATTAGCAGGATGAAATCATCAGGGCTAAGGAAAATGTTACACCTGAGAATATAAATGCACAGTCTAAAAACTACGTGGCAATATATTAGAAAAGGTTCTCAGCAGAAGTAAGGCTTTTGTCAGAGAAGCAATCACAGAAGCAAATTATTTCTAGGATTTACTGATAGAATTTGCTCTTACATCTAATAATGTAATAACATAATTCCTACACTCTAGTTGCTGTCGATGTCTCAGCTGGACTGCTGAAAGAGGCATTATACCTGCAAGTAAATGCAAAAGTCATACTGGAAAGAAGCTAGAGAAGAACAGTAAGTCATTTAATTAATGCAGTCTGTTATGAACATGAGCAACACTGTTTTGTCTATAGTGTACATATCCACACACAAATGCTTGTATAAGTGAATATGCATACATATTAACACACACTTAAAAAAACATATGTGAATATATATAAAAAAATTAAAACACATTGTTCATTTTCATTGGGAGTATGAGAAGGAATGCAGCAAGAAAATTCAAGTTTGGATACAGGAAATACATTTTCATGCAAGTAAGCATTGGTGCAATCTACACACAGGTGTTGCAGCTTTCCTTCAAACAGATGTTTTTATAAATCAATTAGTCAAATATAGTGAGTGATGCCACTTTTGAAAATGTGATCCACAGCCTCCTTAGATTCTGTGAACTACTCCAGAAAGGTCCCTGAAAAAACAAATGAGCAAAGCAAACCTAATCTCAGTATATACAACAGTTCTCATATTTATGTTTATGAGAGCACAAATTGAAGATGTTTGAAGAATGCGGATCAACATATATTTGAATCCGCCTCAGTGCAGAGATTAGATTAAACTCTTGGGGCCTGCGAGCCTATAATTCTTTTTATTCCTCTGTGAAAAATCACATCCCCTCTGCAACTCAATTTTCTTTTACTTAACAAAAACGCAAATAGTATTTTCCCATCTCACAAGGGACTGTCGGTACATACATTATATAGATTGCTCAGGTACAGTGGCAGTTGTGTGAACTAAAGCACTCAGAATTTTATTTACCTCTCCTCCATGGAGGTCTTCTAGGTTTTGAACATCTGGCAGAAGGATGTGGAGCTGCTGGAGTAGGCCCGGAGGAGGGCCACAAAGATGATCAGAGGGCTGGATCACCTCTCCTACAAAGGTTGAGGGAGATGGGCTTGTTCAGCCTGGAGGAGGCTCCAGGGATTCATCATCACCTTCCAGTGATTAAAAAGTGTTTATAAGCTTAGAGTGACAGGACAAGGAGGATCAGCTTTAAGCTAAAAGGAGAGATTTGGGTTTGATATTAGGTGGAAATACTTTTCTCAGAGGGCAGTGAGTCCAGGCACAGCTGCCCAGAGGGGTTGTGGTGCCCCATCCTCAAGCTAGGTTGGATGGGCCCTGGGCAGCTGAGCTGGTGGGGAGCAGCCCCGTTCTTGGCAGGGAGATGGGACTGAATGGGCTTTAAGGTCCCATCCAACCGAAGCCATTCTGTGACTGCATGACATCCAACCTACACAGCATCCGCCACATCATGGGCAAAAGGAATCTCATATCAATTGCACTATGTTTACAATGATTTATTTAAATGCAAGGAAGTAAGCTCTTTCGATACAAAGAGTACATAACATGAGCACGTGCAATTGAGAAGGCCTGCAATAGAAACTTCCACAAAGCTTTCACAAAAGCACTGCAGCTGCTGGAGCTGCACCTAACAACGGCTCTGAGTACAAAAGCTTTCAGTCAGCCCTACGGAACGACAATCGAGGCTCTCAGCCAGCTCTTTCCCACTCCGTGCCCGCTTCCGATGAAGTGCACTGCATGTAGACGGTGGACAGGAGGAGAACCAGGCTGTTTCTCTGCACTTAACAGCAGATTTCGGCACAGGTTTCCCACCGCCCCGGAGGCAGCAGGGACGCCGTGCCCGCCGTCACGCAGCTCTCGTATTTCCGCAGCCGGCCGCACGGCCCTGGGCTCAGGGGTGGCACCTCCGTATCCGCAACAACAGAAACAACGCGGCGTTGGTTCCGAGGAAGAAGAAGGAGGAAGGCGGGGAGCGATGTGATCGCTGCCCCACGGAAGCCCTGAGGAAGCCCCGAGCGGCCGCAGCGCCGCCGCAGCCCGGGCGAGGGCGCAGAGCCCGGTGCCGGCAGCCTTCCTTCCCCTTCCCCGCCTCTCCGCCCGTATAAGCGGGGCGGGCGTCCCCAAGCGGGCCCGCCAGACCGGTTGGCTCCTGCGGGCCGCGCTGCTCTCCCCGCCTCCCCGAGGCGCGGCCCGGCCTGGCGTGCTGCGGCCGCACCGAGGCCGGGGGGCTCCATGGCCTTCATCCGCAAGCGGCGGCAGGAGCGGGAGCTGTACTCCAAGGAGAGGTGAGCGGCCGGCCCTCCCGGCTCGGCCTCGGCGCGGGAGCGGGCTCACCCGGCCCGAGGGGTGCGGGCTCTGCGGGAGGCCCCGGCGGAGCGCTGGGTAGAAGGGGCGGCTGCGGTGCCTGCCTTGTTACTGCTGTCATCGATTGCCCCGACTTAAGGCTGGAAAGGCTGCAGGGTAAAGCTGGAAAAATAGAGTTGCCTGTAAGCTCTTGTTTTCGCTTGTGTTCGTGGCGTGGAGGTGCTGCCCTGTTGCTCTGTAGATGCTGTTTACGATTTTCCCCAACGTGCTGATCAGCGTGTTGTCGGCCCTTGCGTTGTGGGCTCCCTGGCTGCTCCTCAGAGCACTAGATGCAGCTGTTTTTCCTCCTGTCCTGCGGCCGCTGTGCTGTGTGCCTAACTGAACCTGTCAGCAGGCCGTACCACACGTGCCTTGTAAGTCCTGAATGCGCTCTCTTATTTTTAGCCAGTGACACAGTTTCTTTTATGTGCCTTACCTACATCTGGCTTGTCAGAAAGCTTCAAAGTTACTTCTGATCTTCGTGTTGCCACCAAGGAGATCTGTGCGAAGTAAGAACTGGGCTCAAGTACTCCCCAGTTGTAGCACACGCTGTGGGAGGCAGGTCCCGCATGGGCACATTGCTGGTGCACATCTCTGCTGTTTGTTGTTTAGGAGCAAATCACATGGCAAAGAGTTTGGCTCACTTTGTCCTATACGTTCTGATTCGTTGCTGTTGAACGGTGATGCTGCTACAGCTTTTGAAGTGTTGACATAATCCAAACGTGGTCTGTTTTGCTTTCTTGGGTATCTTTTTCCTGGCTGCTTTTGCAGCTGTTATGGTTTCAGTTTTGTTTGATGGGGAAAGGATGAACTTCCTATGGAGGAAGAGAAGGATTTTTAATTTTGAAGTCAAACATCTTAAGTGTAGGGAATGCTAGAACCATGACTATTAGTTCTGCTCGGGGCTTGCTGTTACTGGTCTCCCCTTCAGAAGCTGAGAAATGCCCACAAGTTCCAAAGATCCAGGTGGGATACAAGTTTCTCCCAAAATCTCTGAAAGTGAAACCAACTTAACAGTGTCTGTCAGCATTACTGATTTTCAGTTAAGGACAGTTCCTTGGAAGCATTTTAGGATCTTCTGTCTTATTTGAGTTTGCAATTTGAGGATATTGTGGAAGATGAATTCTGTATTTTGTCATTGTTGGCACCTGCAGTTTTCCCCACCTCTGTATTTGCTAATTAGTTTCTCTGCTTCTTCCTGTGTAAAATAAATTTGCATATATTTTGTACTTCATAGCAGCTTTTTTCCTGTTTCTCATCTTGTGCATGTCTTTAAAAAAAAAAAAAAAAAGAGGAAATCTTGAAAACATTTCTTAAGCTCTTAAGAGCTTTTGGCTCTGAAATGTCAAATGAGTAATATATAATCCTGTCTTTTCTTCTTTTGTGGTAGTCCTGCCTTAAAGCAGCACAGAGAAATTGTTTACTTCTCTCTCTTGAAGGAGTTGTGCTGAAATCTTCTCTTTTAGCCTTTCTGGGTACTTGTTGCAGGGACACTGGATCCTGCCCCAGAGCTTCTCCTGACTGAAGTAACCTCCCTGTAGCTATTTCATAGTGAGTTTACTACAACTTGAAACTTTGTGGTAATGGTGTTTCACACATGGTTTTATTGTTTGTTTGTTTATATGTATAAAGCAATGTACAAATGTATAAGCTGTGGAAATTCTGGTTAAGAGTACTGTGAAACAGTGAGTAAAAAGTTAATCTTCTTACATAGATTTTGCTTTGGGAGAGGGAGGGAGGGAGGGAAGGAGGAAGGAAGGAAGCAAGACCAGTTCTAAATGGTAAGAAAAAAAAAGCCCTGAACCAATTAGTTGGATTGAATTAATATCTGATTACATAAGCCTACTTTTCTGACTGTGTTATTTTCTAGGAGAAAACAAAGTAATTCTAAAATGCCTTGTTTGTATGCTGAGGACAGAGAGGGAGTTTTCCTTTAAATAAACCAATCCACCTATTTAGTTAATTTTGGCAGTGATTTCCCCTTCAAACGTACCTGTATTAGAAGACATTTTTTTTCACTTTTCCTAGGTGTTCAGAGTTTAATAAAAGATTAGATATTGTGTTTCTTTTTATTGACGTGTGTACCTACCTGGTGCAACCTTTAAAAATATTCAGCGTTCATGAGTAGGAATATATATACATATATTTCCCAATTAATCTTAGTTAAAATTGAAATTAAGATGTTTTGATAAGGTTGTTGCTTTCTTTATCTTTTGAGTTCTTGGTTCAGCTAGCCACAGGTGTTTCTAACACTTGCTACACAGGTCTTTTATAAATAGACCTGCTGATTTGCCTGCTTGGCTTTCTGTTGCCCGAATTTATCTGTTCTGCTGCTAACATCACATCGAGATGATGTACTGGCAGTGTGTAGGTTCTGCAAGTTCATCTGTGTGATGGTTACTTGGTGTTTTAAATCTCTATCTTTATCTTGCCCTCTTGGGACAAAATATTCATAATGGAGGCTTTTATTCAAACATCAGCAAGTGATCCTACAGCTGGCCTACAGATGCTCTGCTCTTAAGAGGAGGTTTGCTGTTAGAACTAGTTTATGTAGCCACAGGCTGCCACAAAAGTGGGTGACCTGCTCTGACCATGGCAATGTACTTCCATTATCAAGACTGTGCTTCCAGTATCTGGTCAAGTGATTGCTCAAGGTGTGTCCAGTCAAACACCTGAAGGCATTGTGCCCCAGTGGTTTTCCAGCATGTGCAATGAAGTGATGGAAATAGGAACAACGGAACAATACAGTCACAGTTAAGAAATTAAAGTAGGATCAGCAGGCTAGTTTCTCTTCTGGGTGGTACAAATGGAATTTTGCTGAGATGTATCCTTGCGTGCTCATTCCTGTGTCCAGTTAGAGCAGATTTGATCCTTCAGTTGGTAGTGACATTGGTGCATAAAATAAATTGTGGGTTTGTTGGTTTCTTTTTGCTGTTGTTGGGTTGCTTCTCCCAGGTCTTGGACAGTCCTTTGAACTTTGGAGCTTAGTTCAGTTCTTTGAGAACTGAAGTAAAGAAGGATGTGCACATTAAGCAAAATAACAGTAAAATACTCAAATCTGATAAAAAAAAAAAACATTCTTCTGGGGGGATGCTTCATAGCATCTTGGCAGGGCTTGCTAACCTCAACTGAAGTTGGTACAAGAATTCTACATTTGTTTTCAGTGCTGCATACTTTAAACAATGCCAGGAATGTTTGGGGTGTAATTTGGGTACCCAAAACTTATGTTTAGGAGATGACATCATGTGAAGTTAAATTTTGCAAGTGTTTTCCTGCTACTTAGCATGCTGCCTAGTTCTTTGATGTGTCTTGGGTGTGCTCTTGGCTCGTAACCCTCAGCCCTTTTCTGAGTGGCAATTATATGTCAAAAATAAACAGAAAGCCAGAATTCTTCACTGCTTTATTTACCAGTCTCACCTGCCCTTCACTAGTACTGCTGTAAATTAACTAGATTAACATTTGTTTTGCTTGGCAAAGTGCTTGTGCTTTGTTTTGTAATGGTGTGTGTTTGTTTCTTTGTTTTTCCTGAAGCTATTTCTGCATTGCTTCTATTCGGATCTTTCAGATTTCCTTAATACCATTTTTCTGGGACAAAATAAGAACGTGAAAATGTCTCCAAGTTATATTGGCATGTTTTGATTTACATGTAAGTGTGGGTACTTACTTTCTAAGCTCAAACAATTAAAGGAGTATCTGTTTACTCCACGACATTCAGTGGACTAATGCCAGAGGATGTGGGTTGTTATCAAGATGCTCTGATGCAAAAGCTGTTAGGGCCTTTAGAAAAGTTCCTTCTTCTAGTCTCCTTACTGCTTCTGTTGTTGGTCTGAGATGGAAGGTTTGCTTTAAGTTTGAGATGTAGCATCTTAAATGTCCTTCCACCCACCATTAAAGATCAAGATTACTGATTGATTCCATCCTGGTAAGTGGAACTGCTGCTTTTTCTGTCTCTGACCACAGAGTTGCCTGCCATGTAAAAAGGTTTCATCTCTGGCCATGTTCTTCTTGTCACGATCCCTTCACACTGCATGGTTTCTTGTCCTTGTTGTTCCCTTCCATCAACTCATTCAAGTTATTTAAGCTGGGCAAACTATCCTGGGGAAACTCCAGCTCTGAGTGGAAGCATGAATACTTTGCTAATCTGATGGCTTCTTCAGTTGGTACTGAGTTGTATCCAACTGCTTTAAGCAGGCTGTGGGTTGGAGGAAGTTGGCAGGCTGGGTTGGACCAGTGGAGCTATTAAAGCTTTTGTTCTTCAGATTTTGAAATGATCCAATGCTTTATACGTGTAACATTTTTTTGAGAAGTTCCTTACAATCTTACTTTCTATTGGCAAGAGTTTGAGGATAGAGACAAGACTGTTAAGAAGCTAAAATACAAGGTGTCAGCATCTTTGAAACTCTCACTTCATAGAGATATTTTAATGACGTTTGAGCATCTTTTGAAAATTTTCTTTGTCAATCTCCATCATTTTCAAATTAATATATTCCTTCTTAAAGGCATTTTAATATGTCAAGTTCAGTGTGCAAAGAAGGAATAGTAAACTAACCCTGAAGAAATGCCTGTGTCTTACTGACCGTGTCAGTGTGTTGTGAGCAATTAAATAGCATGGTGACCACAAAGAATGTGAACGTATGCCTGTGAAATATGTCTGTATTATGAAGCAAGCATGAATGTATCCTACAATATGCTAAACTATGACTTTTATTGCTTGATTTCAAAGGTTTTGACACCAACAGATATTTTCTGGGCTGCTTTTCAAGAGAACATGTCTTCTTAGAGAAGGAATATCTTTAATAAATGCTAATGAAATCATTTGTAAGTAGGAAGTTTTAAGTAATACTTGAACTACACATTTTGCAAGTGGGTTAAAATGAACCTCTTGCTGATGCTAAGGCAAATACCTCAAACTTGATCCTTTTGTTTGCCTGAAACAGTGGCT